CATGTCCAAAACAATGGGGCCTCTGGGCTTGCGAGCCCACACAGTCAATTATCATCACTAGCGAGCCCACTCTGCAATTATTATCTTTGGATGCTTTCATCGTTTAATCGTTTATTTCGAGCCCGTTCGACTTAATGATTTTGTTGAGATCAACTCGTGAATTGTCTCGTTTTATAATGATGAGATTTCTCATACATTGCTAGTCATTCATAGTTTTGTCAAATTTTATATCTCACGAGCCAACTCTGTTACCGACTTATGAGAAAATCGATCTATATTTTATGAGTTGGCTTGTTGGTAATTCATAATTTTATTAAACTGTAAATCTCACCTCTCATGTGATGCTTAAGATTTGAGTATATGAGCAAGTATGTCTCATATATGACATGAGATCAGTTTTAATCACATGTATCATATATGACATGAGATCAGTTTTAATCACATGTATCATATATATATGGGTTTTTTCGAGTTTCGACATTGACTTGGCTCGGCTCGTTAACAAACGAGCCAAGATCGAGCTTGACTCGTGATGAGTCAAGTATGGATTAGGCTCAACTCAACTCATTAACAACCTTTGTTTCAGCATTAGTGTTTTTTTTTTTGTATTTTTGAATTTGGTTCGGTTCATAATATCTAGATATATGTATTCATAAAATAAATCTATACATAGGTGGATCTCGTCTGCAAATAAAATAAGTGTATGCTCGATAACTAGTTTCAAGATATTTAATTTTTTTAATTTACGATAACATAAGTTTAATATGATAATATAATATAGATTCACAACTAATTCATAAATTATCTTAAATAACCATCCTAGCACCAAACCATAAGTTCTAAACTCTAGACCTTAGTCCTAAATTTCTAAACTCTTTATTAATAAATATTCCACAAATTTATGCATTTTCTTATCCATATCATATCCCAAATAATCATTACCCTTATTTTGACATGAATTGTCTATTCAAAATGACTATTAAAAACGGGGTGGATAATATGTCGCTAATTTCACTCCTATAGAGCATACTCCGCTTGCAAGAGAAAAAAGAGGAGCAGGCCATCAAAAGTCGAGAGTAGTGATGGCAATGGGGCGGGGCGGGGCGGGTACCTCAATTCCCATGCCCCGCCCCACGCTACTACGGGTCGGGGAGGGTAAAACCCGCGCGGGTACGGGGCGGGGCGGGTCGACCCACTCTTACATGTTGTTCAAAAAAAAAAAATACAAGTAAATTTTACTTTTTACAATAAAACGTAGGGAAAAACACTTTAAGAATGAAAAATATTGATAATAGAATGGATAGTCGAGCCTAACAAGTTGATAGGCTCGACTCTAACTAGTTGAAAAAAGTCAAAATAGAAGAAATATGTATAGATATTGTAAGAAATTGAGATAAAATGAGTCTAGAACGAGGCGGGACGGGGCAGGGCGGGTTGGAAGTAGATACCCATGCTCCGCCCCACACTACTGCGGGTCGGGTAATACCCGCCCCATTGCGAGTCAGGTCGGGTAATACCCGCGAGGCGGGTTGAAATTGCCATCACTAGTCGAGAGGGACTTCCTAAGTAAAGCTTTACCTAGAAAACTGGCTGTTGTGCAATGCACAGAAAATAAAACTATATATGTTAGGCAACGGTTTATAACTTTATTTTATTAACATAAAAATATACTTATGTGCCACTTCAAAGTTCAAATAGCTATCATAGCCGACCGAATATGGAGAAATTATTTGTTTCAATGATTATTTTTTCCCAGAGCATTCTCATATTTCTTAAAATTATCTTTTATTGTAGTTTTACAACAATTTCTATATTATCCATAAGTAGAGTTCAAACTTAAAATGGTTGGTTGACGATGTACACACGTGAAACAGATGGTGCAATAAGATAGAAGAAAACAAATGAAACATAAAATATAAATCTAAGAAAAAAAAGTATTATCTCTATCTCTCCAGATTCCAGCCCATCCTACAGTTCCTACTTACCACAATACGGGTCCAGCTCTGGTGGTTAAAAATAATTTCTAAGAGATCTACATATATATAATTCCAAAATTAATTGTATATGTTTTTCCTTTAACCATTTCAATAATTATGCAATCTAACTCATATAAATTTTATTGTTACTTTTCAATGCAATTTATTTGTAATTGTATATGTGCTTAACTTATATGAAAAGAAAATAAAGAAAACAGGTTATCAAAAAAATTGATACAATAAATAAAGAAAATAGATATTTCCATTGCAGAAGTCCATTATTTCCATTTTTTTAAGCCATTTTAATTTCATATGTAATTGCATTTATAGCAAGATTGCAAATATGTAATGAATCACCACATCAATATAATTGATTTTGCAATTGCAAAAATTCATGTCAAGTCATCTTGAAAGACCAATTGGATGCTCTAACAACCACAAGATTGAAGCGGATTCTGGTCAATAATATGACGGGTTATTGACTATAATTTTTTTCCAATTGTATCTAACGAGTTATATCTCTTTTGTATTAATATGGGATTCATAAAGATTTGGTCAATAATATGACTGGTTATTGACTATAATTTTTTTCCAATTGTATTTAACGAGTTATATCTCTTTTGTATTAATATGGGATTCATAAAGATTTGGTCAATAATAAAATTGATAGTAAATAAGATTATACCGTGGTAGTATGAAAGTAAACCATGGCAGTATCAATATATCATAGTGTAGAATCGTTGTATATTTGATCGTAGGAATATACTAGCCACCATCTATTATCCTATACCGGGATGATATATTTGGTCCTGATTTTTTTCTACAAATTTGTAGATCTCAATATATCATGATGAATACGTTCCCTTTATGCAGATTTTTTCAATTTTTGAGTAAAAAATGACTGTGATATGTGGTGGTTAGGAATTTTTTTTGAAGTAGCAAATAATCAAGAATACGAACGGGCCAAAACCCAAACGGAAAAGTACAAGCAGATTACAATCGAATTTGAAAACCAAAACAACAGGCCCCAACAAACCAGGTCCAGAACCCAATAGGGCCCAGACCCAAAGCCCAAACAACAAGATTTAGCCTTCAAACCCTAATCGAAACCTACCCTTTTGGAATCCTCCATCGCCGCAGCCGAAGACCAGCACCACCACTTTGACACACTTGCAGCGCCACTTCCCACCAGCCACGCCGCCATGCACCAAGCAGAGGAACCATCTTCCACCATCCCGGATGGAGGGGCGAGCCCACCCCGGTCCAATCGTTGTCCACCTCCCGACGGAATCGCAAAGAAATGACAACAGAGACGACCGGTCGGTGAAGGAAATAAAAGAAAGAGCACTTCTGTCTTCAAGCTCATCTAGTCGAGTCCGACGCCATAGGTCGGCATCTTTGAAACCCCATGACCTGCATAGAGTGACAAGGAGGTAGACAAGGGATAGAAGAGGAGAAAACAAGCCAGATCAACATCAGATCCAGCCTCGTTCGCATCTTAGATCAGTCACCATCTCTAGATATGAAACAAACATATCAAAGACCAAAAGCACATCCCACCGAGGGGGGGTGAAAAGAACCCAGAAATGGGACATGAAAGCATCCAGAAACGGGAAAGGAAAGAACCCAAAAAAGAGCAGAAACTACAACCAAACAAAGGCAAACAGGGGGAAAATGAAGGAGAAGAAGCAAATAAGAAAGAGGCTGCCACCAGTTGTAATGTGTAGTACAAAATAATTTTTTCTTAAAATATATTAAATATATGATGCCTTCTACGGTATCCCGGGTGAAATCCGGGGTACTGCATACCTTGAGTATGAAAATGCTATATAGACCTCGAATTAGCAGGATTTTTGGGAATTATACTATACCCTAACCCTTAATGAGTGAACCCTAGGTCCTAATTATCTAAATCATAAACTATAAACCCTAAGATGGTTCATGGACTTTTTGCCTATATTTGGACGAATCATAACCGTCGATTATTGTTTCTAATTAAATTGATCTTGGGGTATAAGATTTAGAGAATTAAGACCTAGATTTTGATCTTTAAGGGTTAGAGTATAGTATCATGTCCGAAAGATCAATCAATTCAAGTTTTGGATAGCGTTTTCTTACTCAAGGTATGTGGTACCCCGGATTTTACTCTGGGTACCGTAGAACTCCCCATATATATATATATATAATTATATATATATATATATATATATATAATTTTTAGATCACAACTAAAACAAAGAAGTTAAAAGTCCTTAAAAATTTTCTTTTCAATATAACTTCTAAAACCGCTCAAAAATTAGGATGTCAAATTTAATTATGTCTGAATGCCTAATTACGAGTAGGGCTACAAATGAGCCGAGTCAAGTCGAGTTTTACCCCAGCTTGAGCTCGGGTCTTTTATAAAAGAGTCGAGCTCGAGCTCAACTCGTTTATTAACGAGCCGAGTCAAGTCAGTTCGAGCTAGCTTGTTTACTAAAATCTTGATTTTTATTTAGCACTTCATTTTGTATGTCATGGTACATATGTATTATTTTGTTAGCTAATCTCATATTATACTTCGTTGGTATCATATATCATTTAGTTAATAATTTTTAACTACTCCATATCATGTTATTTCATAGTATCGAAGCAATCTATGATACGTAATTTCTTTTTAAAGTAGAAAATAAGACATATTTGCTCACATACTCAACGTGTTAAAATTTATATATGGTGAGACAACATGCTCCATATTAAAAAAGAAATGCTACAATCTTTAGATATTTAATTTATATATTAAAATGCATTAATTAGTAATTTAGTATGCATGTACGTGCTATGATTAGCAATGAACTCCTTATACTTTTTTCTTATAACGAGTAATTAACTTGTCGGTGATATTATTTTATCCTACTCTCCATGAATGCGTTGGATAACGTCATTTCATGCCCCAAGAGATCTATCATGATTCATTTACATAAATATATATTCGAATTTCAAAGGGTTAACGTCGTGATGCACGAGTTACCGCTTCACGGACACCGTGTGCTTCCGTTTGCCTATAAAATGAGACCTATGGAGAGAGCTTGAAACCTCACTCACCATTTCTCAAGCAGCAGGGGAACACCGAAAATGGCTGCCATGTCATTGATTCCCCTCTTTGTCACCCTTCTCTTCTCATCCGCAGCAGCATCCGCCGCCCAATCACCCTCCGTTATCGTCGTCGGCGCCGGAATGTCAGGTAAACTGACAAAACCCCTTTAGAAAAACGACCGCATTCATTTCTCAAAGTACAGGGTACTCTGTTTTTTTCCCCCCAGCGAGCTAAACAATTTGACACGAACAAACCCCATTTTTTTTCGAGCGATTCAGGAATCTCGGCGGCGAAGACGCTCTACGAGGCGGGAATCAAGGACATCCTGATCCTTGAAGCCAGCTCCAGAATCGGCGGCAGGATGATGAAGGCCGACTTCAGCGGCTACACCGTGGAAATGGGCGCTAATTGGTTCTTCAGTGGAGGTCCTGTCGCTAACCCGGTCATCGATTTAGCGAAGAAAGTCAGCCTCAAATCTTACCCTAATGACTACTCCAACATCACCGGAAACACATACAAACAAGAGTAAATGAACCCAATTAACCCTCCAGATTTCCATCCTTGGTTCAAATTAAGCAGTTTCGATGTTGATTTTGTTTGTGGGCGAAATGGAAAAACAGGGGAGGTTTGTACCCGAAGAAGGACGTGGAAAAGGTGGACGAGGTGGCCGTAGCACGGGACGAGTACTGCGCCAATTTCTCGAGAAAATTGTCTGCCAACAAGAAGAAGGATGTCGATGTGTCGATTTTGGCTGGACAGCGGCTCCACGGAAGGTAATCATTGGAAAACCAAAACTAGAAATTTTTTGTTTTCTTTTTCAACATCCTCTGGCGCTTGGAAAAAAAAAAAACCAGAGTATTTGAGTGTGTTTCCTGTTTTGGCAGGCCACCGTTGACGCCGCTGGATATGGTCATAGATTTCTACCACAATGACTACGAAGACGCGGAGCCACCGAAAGTGACGAGCTTGAAGCACACCTACCCTCGTGGCGAGTTCGAGGAGCACGGCGAAGATCCGCATTTCGTCACCGATCCAAGAGGGTTTGGAGTTCTGGTTCAGTATCTCGCCAGCCAGATTCTCAAGAAAGGAAGCCCTGTTCAGCTCAAGCTAAAAAAGGTCTGCAACAAACTGGAGTGAAATCTATTTTTGTCACCATACCAATCTTTTCTCTAAACATAGTTTCTTGTGTGGAATCATGTGTCTTTCAGGTGGTGAGGGAGATAGCTTACTCCAAAAATGGAGTCACGGTCAAAGCTGAAGATGGTTCGACTTACTCAGCAAATTACGTCGTTGTCTCCGCGAGTGTTGGTGTTCTCCAGAGTAACCTCATCCAGTTCAAGCCCAAGCTTCCGGTTGGCAGACTTACTCTGTTCTCACTCTCTGTTTCGCTAAGCTTCATTTTTATTTCATCTATTTCTTACACAATTAAACGGTTTCAGATGTGGAAAAGAATATCCATATCCGATATGTCGATGACGATATACACAAAGATATTCATGAAGTTTCCTTACAAGTTCTGGCCAAGTGGCGGACCTGGAACAGAGTTCTTCCTCTACACCCACGTCCAACGTGGATATTATCCACTCTGGCAGGTAACTAGTTAGATTTTTTTTTTAACTTAAAGCTTGAGTGAAATTAAAACAGATAATCAATTTTTTTTTACGCTTTCGTTTGTAGCATCTCGACAACGAGTATCCAGGATCGAACATCCTGATGGTAACGGTGACCGCGGACGAATCGAGAAGGGTGGAGCAGTTGTCGAATGAGGCCATACAAGCAGAGGCCATGGCTGTTCTAAAGAAGATTTTCGGGGACAAGATTCCAAATCCGGAGAACATACTGGTGCCGAGATGGGGATCCCATCGGTTTTTCAAAGGAAGCTATGCCAATTGGCCAGCTAACTACAACCAAGAAAAGCACGACCAATTAGGGGTGAGTGAAGAACTTACTACAAGAATCCAATCTATTGCAACTACTCTTCCCATATTTGGCTTTAGGACCAAGACTGTTCATTGGATGTTCTCTAGGACTAGAACTATTTCTGGGTTTTGGCTGACCACAGGTGTTTCTTTCTATTTCCGGTTTAATTTTGCAGGCACCGGTTGGTCCGGTCTACTTTACAGGAGAGCACAATAGCAATAAGTTCATTGGTTATGTGGATGGGGCTCACTTGGAAGGTGATTTCTTTACTCCATTTCCATCTCTTTGTTTTTGTCTGTTAGTTCAGTCTTTCTCTCGATCTTATCTTATCTCTTTTGTCCATTTTTGTTCTGATAATTGGGGGGTTTGGTTGTGAATTTGTGATGTTTCTCTAGGTATTGCTACTGCCAACGATTTGATCAAGTGCATCAAGGGAGAGGGTTGCAAAGGCGACAAGAACATGAAGATGTAGAGGGAATCAATCAGGACAGCTTTGTTGAAAGTGTCGGTGGTGATTAATAATGCAGCTCTTGGGGAGATTGATTGATTAAGTCAAGAACCCTGATCGGCAGGGAGATTTGATGAAGCCCCCAAGGATTTGTAACTGGTCAGGGTTGTAATTTAGGGTGAATTGGTTGTGGGTTTGGCCTGCATTTGGCATATGGGTTTCTGCTTTGCTTCAATAAAAATTATCCTTTGCACGTCTTATTATGTACATACAAACTAGAAGGAAAGCCCGGTCGGAGGAGTGAGGAGTGTAATGTGTTCCCTGAAATCTTTTTTTGGAGTCCAAAATCTGATTGCGTAAAATGGAATTAGTCGTGCAAAACTACGAAGCTTCCGTAGTTCCATTCTCATACGGCGATTATTGTAAAAAAAAAAAAAAAAATTCTCATACGGCGATATTTAGGGGGGTCTACAAAGCTGTACTGACTACGAAGTGGCAATGGCTGGACAACAACAGTGTTAGTTTTGCGTGAAGAAGCTTTGGAGCCAATCAGAAGCAGAGGGGACTCCGTATTGTCGTCGCCATCACTAGGCACCACTCGATGAGCAGTTCGTGTAGGAACGAGTAAGAGATTTTACGATTAGTGATGGTAATATTTAGGGGTGACAAACGGTAAGTAGGCCGTTTATCGGCGGTATCGGCCGTCGAGAGTCAAATGGGGAAGTTCGGTTTACCGGTCCCAGTATCGGTAAATACCGACGATAATTCGAGAATACCGATACCGGACCAATTAAGGCATTAACTAATAACATATATTTCATTATTCACAAATATTACATACATGAATGGAAGTAAGTAAGTATAGGACTAAAAAATATTATAAATAAGAGTTAATAATAATTTATTAATTACAAAAATGAAGAAAAAACTCAGGAAAATCAAAATATTACAACATCACTCCATTGCCCAAACATTTGGTTCGGTAATTTTCCGGTAAACCGAACCGAAAAACCGTCCGCAACTACTCTTTACGGTAAGTCGGTAAAACCGGTTTATAACTGTTTACCGGTAATTCGGTAACCGGTAAACCGGTTACAAACCAGTATCGGTAATCGATTCTCACTTACCCACACTCGGCATACCGAAAACCGGTAAAGTCGGTAACCAGTTACCTACTGAATACTACCCCTAGTAATTTTGACCTGGTTCGTGCAAATTCGATCCGTTCGATCAATTTGATGCCTGTATTACATGACCCACAATAGCGTGACACGGGGCGTGAGTATTGTTTTCCACATGTCTCGTCACATCTCGTGTTCCCAACCCGTTCTATCACGATTTTCGTTAATATCTACTTGTAGTCTTGTATATCTTCTTTTTTGACATCTCTAAAATCGTATTTGATTATTTTCATTGCAAAGAAATTTTAAACAACCTATCTTTCAATTGTTTGGACTCAATTATTCCTTCCATAATATTTTTCATTCATTTATAAAGTGTTTTCTTTATTTCTTCTTGTAAGAGAGGTAAACATCGATGTTATTTTTACAAATATCATATAAGAATGGGTCGAACCGGTCTGCCCCATACCGTGCGGGTATTACCCAACCTGAGGCCCACTTAGTGCGGGGCGGGTTTGGATATTGAGTGCCCTCGCTCGCCCCATTGCCATCACTACTTCCGACAGGTACGCCTCCCCAATATTATATGGGATTTAACCATAAACTAAACTAGATAAAATAATACACTCTATATAAAAACAACCCACTTAAAAGATTACGGGCTCGATTTCTTGTTGGATTTGAAAATGAAGGTTTTGAGTTTTGAAAACTTTTGGATTTATGGTGGATTTGTTGCATTTTGTATTTGAAAGATAACATTGTTTGTTTAGTTGAATTTTTATCATGGATTTAGTTCATTTGGTATTTGGTTCTAAAAAATTTGCCTTCCATAATGTGGTATTTGCAAATACCAAATGAAATGTGGTATTTACAAATACGTGGGGTCCATGAATTTGGAGCTAAAAAAAGTTGTCCAAATTCGTGAGCCCCACGGATTTGCCTACCTTAACAAACAATGGGTTTGGACTAGGGGTGGGCATCCGGTTCGGTAAACCCGAACCGAACCGGACCGAAACCAAAATGTATCGAACCGAAACCGAAATGTCCTTGTTCGGTTCGGAAATCGGAAGGCAAAACCAACTATGAATGAACATGATTTCCGATTTCCGAACCGACCAACCGAATTTACACTCACAACCCAAGCCCACAATCCCCAAGCCTAAACAACCCAAGCCCACTACATTTATTTTCCCATTTCTCTGAAACCCTAGGCCCTGGTTACTCACAACAATCGACGAATGAAGTCTTGGCGGCGGAACTTCAAGATCTGCCAGCTTCAAGGCCATGATTCCTTCTTCATTCTCTCCACACCCGACCCTTCTACCAAAAGATCTCTCAGCTCTGCTCCTTCCCCCACCGGCAGAGTTCAAGATCTGCCAGCTTCGACACCATCGCCCCCAAACCAAGATCTACTTCATGCCATCGCTTCCTTCGAAGCTTCAACCAAATACAAACATGCAGCGCAAAATCGATGAGGAGTAGAGGCGAAGGAGAAAAACAAACCAAAAATTCATGCATACTTAAATATTAAACCTTACTAACCTCTAATCTTCGTTGTCGGAGTCGTCACAATCATCGATGTCAATCGCCGTCGTCGTCGCCACCGCCATCGCCGCTGGGTCGTTTTCTCCGTCAATCACCGCCGCCGCCGCTAGGTCGTTCTCTCCGTCAATCGCAATCGCCGCCAGCCCCTGAGTTCTTTTCTTCTTCAATCGCCAGAGACGGGAGTCGGGAGAAGAAATAACCACTGCCCGCTGCTTTGTGCTCTGAGAAGTGAGAGAGAAGAAGAAGAAAGAGAGATAGAAGAAGAAAGAGAGAGAATTGGTTCTGCGTTTTTTTTTTGGTAGGTGGGGTGATAGGGTAGGTGGGTGAAAGAGTGTAAGTGGGGAGAGAGAGAGAGTGGGTCTGCGTGGATGGAAAATGGGGAGAGAGTTAGTGTATGAAACTTCGGGTTTGGCCTAAAAACCGAGCCGAACCAAAATATATTTCGATTCGGATGAACCGAACCGAAATATATTTCGATTCGAATGAGCCAAACAGAAATATATTTCGGTTCGAACTCGGTTGGCTCCATGAGTTATTTCGGGGACCCGGTAATCATTAGTTCGGTTCGGTTTGAATCGAACCGACCGAATGCCCACCCCTAGTTTGGACAAAAACCATGATGGTTTGTATTTGGAGACCAAATACAACATCCAAATCCCATTAGCAAACAACACCTACATGTCATGGGCATAATAATGGTCATTATTGGTAGGGGTGGGCATTCGGTCAGTTCGGTTCAAACCGAACCGAAATAATGTATACCGGGTTTCCGAGTTTCATCAAACCTCAAACCGAATTTGAACCGAATTATAATTCGGTCCGGTCGGTTCAAACCGAATTATAATTCGGTTCGGTTCGTTTTTGTATGAAAAACCGAACTTGTGAGGTTAGCTTGTATTTTTTCTCTTTTAAATTATTTTTCACCCCTAATGTAAACAATAAATATGCAATTAAATGCATCATCAATGATAAAATCAAACATTTCAACACATAAGTCATAAAACACTAACATAATTTAAATATTTAAGTCTCATAATAAGTACAAACATAAAAATCCACCATTTGGAACTTGCAATTATAGTAATTCGGAAATTCGGTTAGGAATTCGGAAATTCGGTTCGGTCGAAAGGACCTTGGTTTCCGAAATATACCCTTTTCTCTTCCGAATTTCGAACCAAATTAATGTTATTCGGTTTCGATTCGGTTTGAATTCGGTTTGGTTAGGTTCGGTTTTACCGAACCGTATGCCCACCCCTAATTATTGGGCTATAGATGGATCATTCCGGAGCATCTTGGCCCAAAGCCACAATATCATCTTTTTCTCTCTTTTCTTCTTCTTTTGCTTGTTATGCTTTTTAAGATAGTTGATCACAAAAGGAGTCACACTTGCTTGAAAGTATGAGGGATATCACTTTTTTCGGATGACATGACTATAAAAGATTCATCCATTGGTGGAATGGGTGATGAGGAAAAGAAATTATTGCTTAAAATTTGAAGAATTTTGGAGTATATCTGAGCAATGCTCCAACTTAAAATACTTTTCGGTGTCCGCTAGTAATTTTCCCCCTTTCTTCAACCTACACAAGTAATTCAAGTATATTAATAAATAATAAGTATAGACAACATAATTAACTAAGAAATTAAATGTATAATAGTTATTAGAACTTGACTAACCACATTACTTAGGTACTCAATTCTCATTGGTGTTGCGCTTGCTCTACTCGATACCCCATTCCACACCTCAAATGGATAGATGGTGATCTTCCTTTGAGAAATCAAGCCCCCGCCAGTTCGTAAAATCCCTACACTTTAAAAGCATATATGACTCCAATGCACCTCTAAAATGCATTCATGGATTCATAGTAGCTGACAGAACAATCCTCTAAAATTTAAATCCAAGCCTTACATAAGAACTTTAATCTTTAGACTCATGAGGAGGGCAATTTGGGACCTGAAAGATAATTTTTTTCAATTTTGTTTTTAAATTCCAAACAAGCATTACAAATTGCCAGCCACAAAGAAGGGCTGTGACGCTGTGTTGCTCTTGCTAGGACTGGGAAACGGTGCAGTCTGGTCCAGATCAGATCATATATAAAATCTATGGTCCAGACCGAGAGGTTGAATTATAGACCATAGACAAGACCACAAACTATATGGTTTGGTCCAGATCACGCCTATGCGGTCTGGTCTGGGTCCAGATAGGCCACACTCAATGAAAAGCGAACAATTTGTTTAGTCAACCACACAAAAAATTGAACCAATAACCAAAAAAATAATTGTATTTTGCTTTATAACATTAATTCTAACATACATGAATAATTTTGATACCCTAAATCTTAGTACATTACAAAGATACAAAGTAAAAGCATCCCAACTTGCACAATAACGTCATAAACATTAACATAATGTCATATGAAGACACAATTATCTCTACTCTCTGGTGAAATGTGGTTGTGAATGAAGGAGGGACGAGATTCTTAAAATTAAGGTTGAGACTTGAGTGTCGTTGTGGTAGTTGGTAGAGTTTTCAAATGAGCTATTAACACGTATTGACAAGTCAATTGGGGTCCACGGTTTGGTCGGGTAAACCGCAGTCTAAATCAAATCAGACCAAGAGATGAAAACATAAGATAATACAGATCATGGACCAGACCAGAACATACTTAACGGTCTACGGTCCGGACCGAACTGTGCGGTCCGATTTGGACAGTAATTTTTCTTACGGTATAGTCTACTCTTGTTGCTTTAAGATTGCGGGGGTTGAATTTTCCAAGTTGTTTTGGACGTTTGTGGGTCAAATATGGGTCTCAAGAAATTTTTTTTTCTAGCTTTTTGGAATTTTTAGGTTTGTCAGGTAGATTTTTATATTTTTTCATTAAGCATTGGAGTTGGTCCTAGGCTTTCTACAAAGACAGCAACCGATATATATACAATCTCCATCTCCGGCCAAAAAGAAGAGGATCAGACGATCAGTCAACGAAAGAATAAAAGCCAAACGGCAGAGGAAGAAGAAAAGCCAAAAGGATGCTATCATACTATACACTGGCCGGTGGTTTTGTTTGCCTATAAACTGAGAAACTATGGAGAGCCCGAAACTTTCACTCTTCATTTCTCAAGCAGCAGGGGAACAGTGAAGATGGCTGCTATGTCATTGATTTCCCTCTTTGTCACCCTTCTCTTCTCAGCAGCAAAAGCCGCCCAATCACCCTCCGTCATCGTCGTCGGAGCCGGAATGTCAGGTAAACACCGCAGACAAAAAAAGCCCTACGAAAAAGATCGCATTCATTCGCGAAGTACACTTGCTCTGTTTTTCAGCACTCTGTTTTCCAGCGACCTAATTAACACGAATAAACCCATTTATTGAGCGATTCAGGAATCTCGGCGGCGAAGACACTTTACGAGGCAGGAATCAAGGACATCCTGATCCTGGAAGCCAGCTCCAGAATCGGCGGCAGGATGCTGAAGGCCGACTTCAGCGGCTACACCGTCGAAATGGGTGCGAATTGGTACAACAGTGGAGGCCCCGTCGCCAACCCACTCGTTGATTTGGCGAAGAAAGTGAATCTCAAATCTTACATTAATGACTACTCCAACATCGCTGAAAACACCTACAAACAAGAGTAAATTATCCCCAACTCTCCGTATTTCTACTTCTCGTCCAAAACCCCTTTCAGAGCAAGTTCAATTGTTAATTTGTTTGTGGGTGAAATGAAAACAGGGGAGGGTTGTACCCGAAGAAGGACGTGGAAAAGGTAGACGAGGTGGCCACAGCACGAGATGAATACTGCTCGAATTTCTCCAAAATGTTGTCTCGCAACAAGAAGAAAGACGTTGACGTGTCAATTTTGGCAAGCCAAAGGCTCTACGGAAGGTATTCATTGGGAAACCAAAACTACATAGATTTGTTTGTTATTCATGTTCTGGCATTTAGGCAAAAACAGAGTTTTGGGGTTTCCTGTTTTGGCAGGCCGCCGTTGACGCCACTGGAAATGGTAATAGATTTCTACCACAATGACTACGAAGATGCAGAGCCCCCGAAAGTAACAAGCTTGAAGCACACTTACCCTCGTGCCCAATTCGAAGAGCATGGCGAATATCCACATTTCGTCATGGATCCAAGAGGGTTCGAGGTTCTGGTTCAGTATCTCGCCAGCCAGATTCTAAAGAAAGGAAGCCCCGTTCAACTGAAGCTAAAAAAGGTCCAAAACTAACCAGTGCCACCATCTACTTTGTCATCGCGCCGTATCAATCAATCTTTGCTCTGTTACACATTTTCTTTTGTGGGAATCCATGGTTTTTCAGGTGGCGAGGGAGATAGCTTACTCCAAGAGTGGAGTCACGATCAAAACTGAAGATGGTTCGACTTACTCAGCAAATTATGTCATCGTCTCCGCAAGTGTTGGTGTCCTCCAAAGTGACCTCATCCAGTTCAAGCCCACGCTTCCGGTTGATACCAATCTGTTTCAGTCTTTTCCTTTTGCCGAACTTCATTTTGGTTGCGGTATTCATTTTATTGCACTATTAAAACGTTTTTTTCAGATGTGGAAAAGAATGGCAATATCCGATTTTAGCATGACCATATACACCAAGATATTCATCAAGTTTCCTTATAAGTTCTGGCCAAGTGGCGAACCTGGAACAGAGATTTTCCTCTATACCCACATCCAACGTGGATATTATCCAGTGTGGCAGGTAACTAGCTAGGATCATTCATGCCTTTTAAAAAAAAATTTACTTGAACTCTAATCGAATAAGCGAAATAAGGATATGCTTTCGTTTGCAGCATCTGGATAACGAGTATCCCGGATCGAACATTTTGATGGTAACGGTGACAGCGGACGAGTCGAGAAGGGTGGAGCAGTTGTCCAATGCGGCCATACAAGCAGAGGCCATGGTTGTGCTAAAGAAGATGTTTGGGGACAAAATACCGAATCCGGAGAACATACTGGTGCCCAGATGGGGATCCCACCGGTTCTACAAGGGAAGCTATTCCAACTGGCCAGCTAATTACAACCAGGAAAAGCACGACCAGTTAGGGGTGAGTGAAAGAGCCCAGTAATTCACCCAACTAAGAGTTTAGCCTAGTGATAGTACGATTAGTCTTGAACCTGGAGGTACCCGATTTGAATCCCCGTCAGTATTATATTGTTTCTGTTTTGTTTCGCAGGCACCTGTTGGTCCAGTCTACTTTACAGGAGAGCACAACAGCAATAAGTTCCTTGGTTACGTGGATGGAGCTTACTTGGAAGGTCTCATTTCTCATTTCCATTAGTTTAGTCTTTCTCCATCTTCTCTTATCTATTTTGTCCATTTTTGTTTTTGATAATTGGGGTTGTTGTGATACTGTCTAGGTATTGCAACTGCCAACGATTTGATCAAGTGCATCAAAGGAAAAGGGTGCAAAGGCGACAAGAACATGGAGGTGTAATAAGGTGCGGAGGGAATCAGGCTGCATTTCTTGCAATTGTCGGTAGTAATTCATGTTATAGCTCTCGGGGAGGTTAATGAAGTCAAGAGCTCTGATCACAGGAAGATTTTATGCTGCACTTTTCTCCAGTGGAAGCATGGTGATGGTTTGTTTGGTGTCAAATGGGTTAAAGACACATTTGGTCACTGAGATTATAAAATCGGGACATGTTTAGTCACTAGAAAAAATTAATATCAAATTTGGTCACTACAATTACTAAAACTGGACACATTTAGTCACTCGCCGTCAGTCTCCGTCCAACTCCGTTAATGAAGTCGGATTGGAAAATGACGTCGTTTCAGAAGGGTTTCGATGTTGGAGAAGGTGAGAAGTGGGAAAGGGGTTTTTTTGGTTTTCTGGGTGGGTTGGAAGGTGGTGGGAGCCTCCCCGAATTCTCCCAAACCTCAAACCGAATTCGAACCGAATTATAATTCGGTTCGGTCGGTTTAAACCGAATTATAGTTCGGTTCGGTTTTTTCGCACAAAACCGAATTTGTTAAACTACTTGTATCTTCTCACTTTTAAATTATTTTTACCCCTAATATAAACAATAAATATGTAATTATATGCATCATCAATGATAAAATCAAACTTTTCAACACATAAGTCATAAAATATTTCAAATATTTAAGTCTAAAAACAACTACAAACATAAAAATCCATCATTTGGAGCTTGTAATTATAGTATTTAGGTCGGAACTTCGGAAATTCGGTTCGGTTGAGAGAACCATGGTTTCCGAACTATCCATATTTTCCTTCCGAATTCCGAACCGAATAGCATTAATTCGGTTTCGGTTCGGTTTAATTCGGTTTCGGTTCGGGTTTACCGAACCGGTTGCCCACCCCCACTGGGAGGAAGGAGGAGAGCGGCGGCGGCGGTGGTTTTGGGGAAAGAAGGAGGTGAGAGGAAGGAGGAAGAAGGGTTGGGTGGGGTTGGGTTGGTTTAAATGACGTGGCGGGTTATAATGACGTGGCGGGTCGGGTTTTATTTTTGTTGGGTTATATCCGGCTGATTAGGCAATTCTGTTTGCCACATCATCACTTAACGGACTTCATTAACGGAGTTGGACGGAGACTGACGGCGAGTGACTAAATGTGTCTAGTTTTAGTAATTGTAGTGACCAAATTTGATATTAATTTTTCCTAGTGACTAAACATGTCCCGATTTTGTAATCTCAGTGACCAAATGTGTCTTTAACCCGGTGTCAAATATATACATTTAGTAATGTATATATTTGATCATATACATTTTGTTTGTTAAAAAAAGGTTTTTGAATGACTCATTTTCATTTGTACTAGAGAAGCCTGCTTGCTGCGCTTCGCGCCAAGCGAGCAATATGAAAGATTATATACGTAATTGTAAGAGTGAATAAACTAACATGCAAGGAACACTAACTCTAGAAATTGGAGGTCTAACTCTCATTTGATGAAAAAAAGTAACAGGTAACAAAAATCAATCATGGCAAGAGATTTCACGAATAGGAACATCTAAACAGCTGAATAAGAATTGAGGAAACAACATTTTGCAATAAATCGAAGCAAACAATAAAAAATGGACTCGCCGGCCAATGAGTAAGTACCGATTGTGGAACAACAAACTTAAAAGTATACTTGAAAATCCTTTTTGGTTGTAGAACTTGATTTGAATTGTTGAGACTTATTACAGTTGTTCTCTTGTTAAGTCCAACAAAAAGATAACTGATTATTCGTTTATTAAGTCCAACAAACAAAAAGATAAAAATTAGAGAAGCAACTTATATGGAATATTCCTTGTAAGTTGTAACTCTGTGTATCTCTTAACGGATTATGGTTGGGGGATCTGAGAGAATGAGAGGTAGAGAGAGAGTGAGAGTGGGGTCGACTGGTGAGAGTCTTTCGTTTTGCAGGTCCGCAGCGGTGGAACGTGGGACAGCCAAGGTCACTGCCTCGGATTGTCTTCAGCGCGAGTCGGTCGTCAGCTTCTTCCGGTCAGTCATGGGGAACAGAACAGTTACGGCAGAGAATTATGACACGAGTAAGCGAAGGTTTGTCAGAATTTCTGTGGAAGGGGAAGGCCGCCGCAGAAGATGTATTTTTCTTGAATCTCAGCAAGCTAAGTGGCTTGGGAAGTCTCTGAGCGAGATATACAGGAAAGGGTGGGGGCTGAATGGAAAACTCCAGAATATATCACCTTCCCGTATTATACGGATAGCTAGATTCGCTAGTCGCGATGGAAACTTCTTAAAAATTTCGGAGAATCTGGTGAACGGTACCTCCTTCTTCATTACCATCCCTTTTGTTCCGAGTGAGTGGGAAGGAATTTTCAATTGGTTAGAGCTCCCTCTGGTCAAAGTTGCGCCAAGGGCCCCCATTCTGAGGAATGCTTGGGTTCAAGAAGGTAAGTCCTTTGCAGATGCTGTCATTTAGGGGCTTTCGATGGCTAGAGGCAAGAGCTGCGTTAAGCACCATAAATCACATGCTTTTGTGGAAGTTGAAGATCAGGGGATTGAGGACAGGCTCCAGTTTTTAGACAGGTGCCTTATGATTAGATTATTCGATAACAAGAATCAGGGGTTGCCGAGTGCTTTATCAGATGATTTTAGTAGTTGGGCTCGCAAAAGATGGGATCTTTCCGAAAAGACGGTCTTCTCTAGCAGATTGGGAGATCTCTGGTACATGGTATGCGCATCCCTGCAGGAAGCTATGAGGGTTCAAGAGGATGGATATGCCAAATTTCGGGATTGGAATGTAATTATCAGGTTCTGGAAAGAGGAGGACGGTCGCAGTCTTGCATCCCTAGGTGGTCTGCAGTGGCTATTGATCTTTGGGATTCCGCCTTTTCATCGATCATGGGACGTTTTTCAGAATATTGGACAAATTTGTGGGGATTTTATTGATGTAGATTCACGGGAGTGGTCAGACCCTTGTGTTCGTATCAAAGTTAGACCGCGATCAGAGCTGCCAAAAACCATCCCCATCAGGTTTGGGACCACGGTGTTTGTAGCCAATGTCATACCGGCGCCGGAATATGCGTGCCCGGCGGCGGACTCGAATCGCCGGCGACTCCTAGATCAGATTTTCAAATCTTCTCCTGCATGGAAGCCGGAACGTCGGGGTGGCTTGCATGCGGTTCGTTCCTCGAGCCGCTTTTTTACCCCGGGGTTTGCACCCAAGCGTGGGGCTCCATCTTCAACGGGAATGAAATTGAAGGGTCGGGATTCTTGGAAAAGGCGGCCTCCCTCTCAACGCATCCGTGAGAACAGAAGCAAAAAGATATGGGTTCGCAAATTGGGCCCCCTCCCTTACCCGCACCTTACCGTTAAGCTAGGCCCAGAAATTGGCCCAGAACCGCCCTCTTCCTACTCTCTTGTTCCTATTCTTAAGCCCTCCTCAGACAGGCCGACCCAATCCTTGTCTACCTACGGCCCAATCCCCTCTTCTACCGAGCAAGCTTTACTCCCCGGGCCTCCTCCCAAACCAAATCCCTCCCTAGTCTTACTCCACTCTTCCTCCTACTCCCTCCCTTTAATCTTCGAATCATTCCTTTCCCTCTTTGCAAGCTCTATCTCCCTCCCTATTCCTCGCAGCCAACTGATCTCCCCCTTCTTCCCAGTCATTACCTTTCTTCCTTCCCCCGACCTTCCCTTCCCCCTTGCTGAGTCGACTCTTCCCTATCCCCACCAGTGTTCCCCCCCCCCCCTCCCCCGTTTGATTCTTCTTCTCCTTCCCCCCCGGACCTTGAGTGTGGGTCTTTTCCCTCCCCCTCTTCATCCCCTGACCAGGGTCTTAATCCTACCTCTGATTGTATGGCCATCGTCCCATACAGCCCACTTAATTCTGACTACCTTACTTCCTGGCGCAGTCGCCAAGACCTTTTCGACCTGATTAAAAAATGCCTGGAATTCTCTGAAATTCTTAAGCTGTCTGATTCCGTTTCCGCGGAAAGTGTGAAGCAGAAAATGGTGCATATTGCTTCGGAGACTCATCGAAAGAGGAAGAGGGAATCCAGGTCAAAATTGGAGATGGAACTACGGAGATTAGGGCTTAGCGGCAGTCCCCCGCCAACTTCTAGAACTCGGACACGTTCGGATCGAGTGCCATAGATGGGCGTTCTCTCCCGTTGCATGTAGCTGTTTTCATTCATGAATCACTCCTTTATTGCGTGGAATGTGCGGGGATTGGGTAACCCCAACAAAAGGGCGAAGATTAAAAGACTCCTAAGACGATGGAACCCATCGATAGTTGGTCTTACTGAAACTAAATGGAAGTCGTGTGACAGGAGATTAATCAATTCTGTGGGCGGCCACAAACTAAACGATTGGGTGGCTAAGGATTCTTCTGGCGCTAGTGGTGGAATCGTCATTTTCTGGGATTCATCGAGATACAAGGCCCTCACAGAATGGGAAGGGAGGTACTCCCTGGCTGTTCGTCTCCAAATCATTGAATCTAGGGAGATTTTATCCTTTGTTGTTGTCTATGGGCCGCAGGAAAAGGAGGCAAAGCGGGATTTCATGAAAGAATTAGAGATGGTTTGTCGAGAATATTTGGCCGCCCTCTGCATCATAGGGGACTTTAACCTGGTTAGATCTGATGAGGAGTTTGTTGGGTGCTCTAGAGACGTGGAGATCATCGAGGAATTCAACAGCATGATCAACAGGTGCAGCCTAGTGGATCTTCCTCTGCAGGGCTCGAATTTCACTTGGAGCATAGGTGGGTTGATAAGATCGGCTTCTCGTATTGATAGGGCTCTGGTCAATTTCTGTTTCGAAGAACTGGTATCCCCAGAAACTCTATTGGCACTTGACATAGTGGAGTAGGACCACAATCCGATCATGTTAAAATGGGGTATTAACGATCGCGTAAGCCATCCCTGGAGATTCGAAAATATGTGGCTCAATGAGGAGTCTTTCTTGCAGAAGTTGGTGGGCTGGTGGTCAGTGCCGGTAATGGGAACTAGCCATCTTGTAAGGTTTGGACAGAGAGCCAGGCAGACCAAATTTCTTATCAAGCAGTGGAATCGACTTCATTTCGGGAGAGTGGAAAGGCGAATTTCAGAGTTGTTATCCAGTATTAAGAATATTGATGAAGCCGAGGAGAGGGGGGATCTGAGTGAATCTTTGTTTACCGAAAGAGGGCTGTTAAGGTTTGAATTGGAGAAAGTCCTTATCATGGAGGAGATTTCATGGCGCCAGCGATCCAGAGAAATTTGGCTTCAAGTAGGGGATAAGAACACAGATTATTTCCACAGAATAGCGAAGTTCAATGAGAGGAGAAAAAAAATCTGCAGGTTGGTGGTTGATGGTAGAGCTACAGAAGACAACGAGGAGATTAAGGCGGCTTTCCTCAACTATTTCCAATCTAAGTTTATTGAAGAAGATGAAGACCGCCCATTCCCGAGTAATTATAGGTCTTGTTCAATATCGCAAGAGGCTAACGAGTCACTTGTGAAGCCCTTCACCGAAATCGAGATTTGGCAAGCAATCAACCAATTTAATGGAAGCAAAGCGCCGGGACCTGATGGCTACACGATCGAATTCTTCAAGAAAGCATGGGGGATAATCAAATCGGACGTCTTGAAGGCTTTTGACGACTTTTTTCTCACTGGTTCGCTCCCTCAGTCTATTGCCCACGCGTTTATCTGCCTGCTGCCTAAGAGAGATCCGGTTGAAAAGGTGTCCGATTTCCGGCTGATCAGTCTGCTGGGAAGCCTAAATAAAATCATCTCTAAGGTATTATACAATCGACTTCAGCCTCTGTTGAGCTCCCTCGTCTCTGATTATCAGTTTGCCGGCAAGAAAGGTAGGGTTATTCAGGAATCTTGCCTCATTGCTAATGAACTTATTGACAGTCGAAGAAGAAGTGGGAAGCCAGGATTAGTTATCAAGTTAGACATTGAAAAGGCCTTCGATTCTATAAGTTGGGATTGCATTTGCAAAGCCTTGACTCATTTAGGGCTGCACAACAGATTTAGAAAGTGGATTGCAGGCTTAACGTCATCGTCCAGATTGTCCGTGCTTATTAATGGAGAATCAGCTGGCTTTTTTGGGATGTCCCGGGGAGTCAAGCAAGGGGACTCGCTTTCTCCCCTTCTATTTAACATTGGCATGAATATTCATGTCGTTTATTTTATGCGAAATCAAGAGTGCGGGGCATATTTCGGGGTTTTGCGTTGATGAAGATAGAAGAAGAGGAGAGGTTACCCACTTATTATATGCTGATGATGCCATTCTGTTTTGTGAAGCAAGAGAATCGGAAGTGAGGAATATTCTAGCTGCGCTAGTGTGCTTCCAGGGGATCACCGGGTTGCAAGTTAACCTCGATAAATCTAAAATAT